GTTATTTCTTATTGTGATGATATCCAATTGCAATGTGTGGAAAAGGACATGATCGGTGTATACGATTAGTGAATTATAAAACTATCTTGAAACGCATCTTCGAACAGACATAAAATAACTGTTATGAATGTCGCGTTCTGATTGGTTTGGAGCGCGTGCTTTATGAGAGCACATTGCACGCGTGCGCACTTTCCGTTGCGTCATTCCTATCTATTATTGTAATTTGTACTTTATAAAAGAAATAAACTTGCTTGATGTGCTATGTGCAGTCATAAAGCACTTGAAAATTGGCAGAACACTCAAGAAGTTTCCAGAAGCACTCCACTACGCGTTGTGCTTCTCCTAACACTTCTCTCGTGTTCTGCCAACCTCCGCGTGCATGCAGCACGCGCGCGCGTTTTCTATTTCTTCAACATTCGAAGTACTGCTTGCATTTGCACAATATTTTACAARCTTTTCTCGAAGAAGAAAGTACGGTGCATACRCAAATAAAAAATCAAAACCATACACAAATTTAGGCAAAATTATGTATGAAATATGAATGAAAAGTAAAATTTCCCACTGCTTGCATTTGCACAAGCCGTGCGAACTTTATTGTAATGGTTTCTTTTAAATGATATTGTGATATCAAAAAAAAAAAAAAAGTAATACTAATCTGAATTACTTTGTCATTGAAAGGACAGCTATGTAATTGCTTGTCGCAAAGTCACAGGATTTTCAGGCTATTTATCACGAATAAACACTTTTCTTATTTTTCTCCTTTTTGCTTTGTCTAATTCTTAGGCACCCTCGATTAACCTTCCCTCGATCGTAGGCACCCATCGATCGTGGGAGCACTCTCGATAGGAAACGAGGGACGTTAAGGAAATCGAGAGACGTTGCCGTAAACGTCCCTCGTTTCCCAGCATCCTTGAGAGATCCCTATCTTCCATCTTCGATGATCTTGCAAAAAGAGAAAGGCCTAACTGTAATGTTGTGGTGACGGCGGAGCGCTCATTTTTGTTTATTGTAAATGCAGATGGCTCAACAATGATAGCTGATTCACATTATCACAACCTTTATGGGGCATTGATAAGTTTATGCTAAACCAGGTGAAGCAGGCTCAATGGCTCATTGGCTATCAGGAATGATATATGACATTTGGAAATTATCATTACAAACAGTATCTGTTACTCCGATAATTTATACAAATGTATAATAAGGCGCATTGTTACTAGCCAGAAATGAGAATATAAATGACAAAAAAAAAAAAAAAAAAAAAAAAAAAAAAAAAAAAAAAAAAAAAAAAAAAAAAAAAAAGGGCCTAACATCCAAAGTATAAATAAAACAGGAGTAAATTTTATTGTACATGAAAAGCTTATAAACTTTTACATCTATCATTATCCACGGAGTAGAGTCATTTGATTCTGAAGATGCACTTTTGTAGTCGATTTGTCCTCGGTGTTGAAAACTCTTAATCCCAATGATACATCGTCTCTCTGGTTAGCATTAGTTTCTTCTGCTGACATGAACAAGGCGCTGGCAATTGATGATGTGCTCCATTCAACCCAGAACTACTTAGAAGCCTTGGCGGAAGCTTATAATAACGCTGAGAGATGGGACACTCGTAGGCAGATACTTTCGATATTTTCAGGTGTAGCTGACTTTCAGACCATTTAAAGGTATTTGCCAGGGATCACCAAGTACCGCTATACTCTGGCCAACCTACACGGAAAGCAGTACGGGGTTGTTGGTGCACCTGTGCCACATCAGATAGCAACAACAAGAATACGAATAGACCTGCAACAGCTTGATCATTTTCTCTGTTTTATCACCAGTCCTCATATTATCTTCAGGACAAGTTGTTGAAGTACCTAAAGTGATTCGCACCCTTATACCCCAGGGAATAGTACGTCAGTACTTACAGTACTGCCAGGAAACTGGATTCAAAGCTTTCAGAGAGCGTACGATGCTAAGAGTTTTTCCGAATGTAGTGCAACTGTTCGAGCATCGCTTCAAGGGTTAGACTACTTTGCCGCGGAAGGCGCTCAAGCCTTCGATGACCTACTCACACCATATCACCATATCTGCGAACTTGATCCCGGGAAGGAATGGGAGAGTCGGGTGGTAGAATATCTCAAGGCATCTAAGCTTTATCTGAAAGGCGACTTCACACACAAACAGGACGAAAGGTATTTCCTTTTAAGTTCTTTAAAGTGCCTATAACCTTTATAGGATTATGAGCAATTTTGATTTTCTGTGTGTTGGAGATGAATAAACAAAAAAAAAATTTCGATTTACTAAATATTCTCAGAGATATAGCGCCCTAAAGTACGCAGTTTTGCCACGCCCCGTCGATTTGGACGGAATAGAGGGAAACTGGGACAAGCAAAGTCTCGCCGAGTGGTGACGTCACACCAAGAACGAATGTTTTGATAAGCAAAGATTCTTACTAGTTCTTCGGTCAGAATATGAGAAAATGCCGACTAGATGTGTTGTTGCTGAGTGCACAAACACCCCAGATTTTACGAAAGGTATATACTTGCATAAGATCCCATTTCAAAACAATGGCCCAGAAGCAAAGTCCAGGAGCAAGCAATGGATTGATTTTGTGAAGAGAAAGCGAGCAAATTTCAACTCCTCGGCTACCTCCGTCATATGTTCTACACACTTCCTACCAGAGGATTATAATCAAAGATTTGATATTGCCTCGAAAAATCGTCCTCAGTTAGTTAAAGATGAGGTTGGGACTGTTGCCATCCAAGGATTTATGTCAGCAACCATGAAGAGCAAATCAAACTGTCGGATCGTAATCGCCAAAAGGTAAGTGTCGCTGGTCAAATCTCCAGGAATGTTTACTTGTTCAATAGTCCTAATTCTCTGATTTTGGTTTTCAAACGGTTTTTATTATCTATTTTCCAAAGGTTTTAAAAGATGCCATTGCCGAGGTACCAGACCTCGCGATCCCGTCCAAATCGATGGGGCGTGGCAAAACTGCGTACTTTAGGGCGTTATATCCCCGAGAATATTTAGTTCATCTCCAACACACAGAAAATCAAAATTGATCCTAATCCTATAAAGGTTACGGGCACTTTAAACACCTGCTTTAAAAATTTAGTCGTTATTGTTATGCAATATGTTATCTTAAAAAGATACCCTTTGGTGGCCCAAAAACCTTTTAAACACCCTAAAAGATACCAGATCCTTGGTTTTCAATCCCTAAACGATACGACGATCATCCCCACCCATTGCCAACTGGAGTTTCCTCTCTGGGGATTTAATAGTATTTAATGAACTTATGGCCTGCCTTAATAATTTCTGCACGACAGCAATCTAACAGCTTTTCGGTAGCTGTTTTAATGAGCATTTGCTGTTGGTTCAGTTGTTAACATATATTGTCACTTATTTGTACCATTTTTTGATAGCAGTGTAATCACTGATCATGAGATTTAAAGACGAAAGTCTACATCAAAATACAGTATTGGCTAATAACTAATTATTTGTAATTAATTTTGTCTTTAATTTCTAACAGAAAAGCCTGTTGTAGTAAAGAAATTGAGGGCCAAAAGCAGTAAATGTAAGCTGACATTATCTATATCAGTGTTACTTTTGCGAAGACTACCCTGGTGATAAAAAGCATGGTTTTAAGTGATAATTATCTGATTAAAATAGGGTACAGTATTGCTTTGCCCCTGGGCTAAACAGAACTATATATACTTACTCATTCCAAAAACAAAATATGGTTTTAAAAACCTATTAATACAAGTAATCAAAAACATGGATGTTGTCGAGCTAATGTGATAATCCATGTTAAGACATTCAGATGTTTTGAAAGAAACATTTTTACTTTACGATATTTGTACATGTTGGTAACATTTTCACATTCCTCAATCTTTATCTATAGATGTAGAATATAGTGTATTTATATATACAATATACATAATTCTTCAAACAAGTCAATGCATCTCTTTTATAGAGTCTGCACAGATAAATTTGAAACTTGAAGATAAGATTGTATGATGTCCACATAACAACTCCCTCTAATCCAATCTTTTGTTTTAAAGCTTCAGCAATATTCTATGAAATTGAAGATGATGGTGGGGTCTTCGATGATAAAACAGATAATGAAACAGATGACGACAACCTTTTAGTAAATGTTCTGGATAACGCTGCTAGTGGAATTGCTGGCAATAAACATTCTCTTGGCAAACCCAATTCTGCAAATTCCAAGTGGCCGATGTGAGATGGCAATGCTCAAACAGAGG